TACTTCTATTTTCATAGTAGAGTTTCAGAGGACTTTTTCATCATAATTAGCAAGCTCACTAAGTCTACCGTATGTATTTTTTATCGAGCTTGATACTTCTATTTTCATAGTAGAGTTTCATGTAATTTTCTCACTTTTAAATTCCCGCTCTCTCCTTAATTTTTGCTAAAGGTAAATGGGTAATTGGCCAACATGGAAGAAACTGATTATGTAACTACTGTTGTATCCTTGCATTTTTCTATTTAAATTTTATGTTTTTTTATCTTTGTTCTTTTCTCTTTCTAACTTCCCCCGAAATTTCATCCATCGTGCAATAGTTTGCGCCTTTCACTTCCCAGTACAAGACTGTCATTGAAACCAATCTTCAGGTATCTCTTGGCACTACGGTTTTATTGTTGGGGATTTTAAGCTGGGCGAGTAGAAGATTTCAACTCCGATATCAATTCATGGCGAATTGAATGGAGTTCATCAATAACTGAAGTTGTAGAAGGAAGATTAGAAATTGAATTTTTGGTTGAATATATGCCTCTTGAGATAGAAATTTGGTTGTACAACGGAGAGTGGTGGCTATTGGATCTTTAGGTTTATGGTTTTTGCAACTGTCATAACCTATTTCTATCTTAAAACGAGGAATCATTGATTGATTATTTGAAATAGGTCGCTTCTTTATTCAACCTACTGGAACTAATAAATAAGGAGTGTCTAATATTGCGTCTTATTACTTTGATCGAGTCTATTCGTATATTGGAGATAACCCTGATTTTTTCGTTTGCTCTCAAGTTGTGATGGTCCCCTTTTAACTGAGTTTTTAGTATATAGATGACTTGAATCAACAACTCTCCATTTCTTTTTATTAGTGACATATTGTTTCTAAAAGGAGAGCATTGAACCCTTTATATAGGATTGTGAGGTTTAAGATTTAGTTTCAAACTATCTATGGGTTGTGTGAGAATTTCAGTGAGCTTTTATACTCTATATTTCTTGACTGTCAAAGAAAACTAACTAATAGCATTTTAACAGGGACTTAATTAGCATTATGAAAATGGGGTCAATGATACATTTTTATATTTTATATTCTTAAATGATTATGATATTTCTCCGAATGTTCGACCTATATATTATTTCTTTATGTATCAACTCGATCGAATGATTATCAATAAGATTAAACGGGTTAATAGACTTAAAAGTAACATAAAAATACAAATAATCAAATATGAGCATTCCGGCCAAAGGGCCGAGTTATAAGCTAGTTGATAAAAAATGGGGATAAAATACTAATTTACATGTAATTGATATTTAGTTATTTACTTTTTCCATTTTAGTAGGTGCATTTGTAAAAAGAAGGAGGAGAAACATACGTGTTTTATTTTTATTGGGTAGAATTGTAAAAAGAAAGGAGGAGAAACGGGAAGAAGCAGTTACTAATTTTTTTTCCCCACGAACCGTTGCTATTTATCAGAGTGTTCGAAACTTTGAATGGTAAAAACAGGAATGTTTTCGTTTTAAAGGGTGCTGACATGGCATCACAAATTTAGTTCAAGGTTGATGTGGCAGGGTGCTAATCTCAAACCCTTTTAATATTTTTATAGATAGATAGATAGATAGATAGATATAGGAAAAGAGATTTGCTCCCAATCATGTCGAACAACCTGCTGAAAATAAATGGAGAAAGGAGTCCGTAGGGGGATAACTCTCTTGCATGCGATAGCTCCACAAATCTTAGGAAAGAAGGATGAAGGCTTCGTCAAATCTCCTCCAGAATCAATCGATGGTAGGGCTGCAAATGAGCCGACCTGAGCCGAGTTTTACCCCAGTTTGAGCTTGATTCGTTAACAAATGAGTTGAGCTCAAACTCGAACCATTTATTAACGAGCTGAGTCGAGTCGAGTTCGAGCTAGACTTGTTTACTAAATTCTTAGATCGTATTTGATACATTCATTTTGTATGTCGTGCATGGTACATGTGATTGATGCAGCGATAAAAAAATAATCAAATGTTTAACATTAATTAATCTTATTTTATAATTTTTAGGTGTCATATTGTTTAGTTAATAAACTTTAACTAGTTCAAATCATGTTATTTCATAGTATCGAAACAATTTTGTACATAATTTCTTTATAGAATTAAAAATAAGGCATATATTTTCTTACATTTTCAACATATTAAACTTCACATGGTGTGAGATATATAATTTAACAATCCTATGAATTATGAAAGTCCAAATTAGATCGATTAGTCCATAAGTCGGTGATCAAGTTGGCCCTCAAACCACAATGTTGATACATCTCATGACTCATGAGCTTTAAATGAGCCAACTCACGAGTTGAGCTCAACAAGCCACCGAGTCGAGCTAGCTCGCGAGCTTCACGAGCTGAACAAAGCTAAGCTCAAGTTTGGCTCGTTAGTAAACGAATCGAGTTTCGAACGAGTTTTTCCCGATTCGAGCCTCGAGTTGCTCGCGAGTAGTTTGGCTCATTTGCTCCTCTAATCGCTGGTGGAGGTGCCGATGGGTTCCGGATATCGTCACTAGATTTCCCTGTCCTTCTTCTCAAACCTTAAGGAACCAAAGATTTTTTATTTACTTTGTTAATTGACATGAAGAATCAATCAACATTACTGATTCAACGAAAAAAAAATCAATCAACATTGAATAAAAAATTTAATGTAAGATGCCACGTTAATGCTGACTAAATTTTTTGTTAAAGACTAACGGTCAACATTAATGAAAAATTAAAAGTTATCATATATAATAATTTAGGATATAAAAGAATTTTTTGTATAGTTCATATTTTGCAGTGGAATTAGGAACCAAACGGCTCCAAAGCATAACTCATCCTTATGCACCCATCAGTAACCAAATCTGGACCATTTATTCAGAAAATTCAGATCTAAGGGTGTAGAATTAAAGACATTTTATTTTTCCTTTTTTACTTAATCTGCTCATATCTTCTTTGTTTTAACTCGGATTTCATTTTTTTTTTTTGCACAGATGGAACGAGTTTGTTGTGCTCTACAAAATGAGATCCATTTTCAATATATTTTTAGAAAAAAAATATCTTGTCTCTCGCTACCAACTGCATATCATATGGTATCTTCTTCGTTTTGAAGTCGTTTTTGAAATTTTTTGCACAGAAGGAACGAGTTCATCATGATCTATTGAATCTACAAATTTCTGGGTCAACAAAATACAAGACCAAAAATTACCACATAATACCACCATGGGACGGGGGTGATATCTTGTGGTACAGAATATTGAAAGTCGTAAATGACAATTAGTTTACGCCTACTATCATGTATTCAAACCATCCTATAGTCCTGGTATGTTCATACCATCATGGTACGCTTTTCAAACCATATGATATGCTTTTATTTCAATGCCGGTAAATACCATATGGTATAGACTAGTAAAAAATTACTCATTTTTTTTGTTCCAAAAATATATCAAAGTGGATATCATTTTGAAGAGCACAATTAATCTGATCTAAGTGTGCAAAAATATTTAAATTCTAACTTAAAATGAGTGATAAATAGTCCGTTAAAGATTAATAAATAACATTGTTTTTATTTATTTATAAAAATAGTACACAATCCGGAAAATTTTCAAAAATAACACCCTTTCTAAAAAACTGCTAGGTGGGGTGCGGTTTTCAACCAAAACCGCTTGGGTTGGGGGCGGTTTTGTTGAGCGCAGCAGGTAGGGGCGGTTTGGCTCGAAATTGTACCGTTTTGACATGAATCGCATGCTCAGAATGATGAATATGAGGCGGGTGCACTGAGTGCACCCAAAAAAGTGGGTGCGCCGAATTCGCCACCAAATATATATATATCGATTATTCCTAACCTATGTGGAAACTAGGGGTGGCTATACAGTCCGGTCCGGTTAAATTGACCCAAATTGATCCGGTCCAGCTCGGTCTTTTTGATAATATATGGACCAAAGATTGGATTGGATACAATCCAGTCTTCATCCGGTCCGGTCCCAATTAGATCTTGATTTTATATTGAGCTTGTGGGGATTTGAGTGGCCTAAGGTCTGAAAGGGTGAGGAGTTGGTTAAGTTTTGTACTAAGTGCAAATGTTTGTGACCGTTTATGCAAATTACCCTTAAGTTTTGGGTGTTGAGCTCTCTTATCTGGTCTTTATCCAGTTTTCGGTCCGGTCCCGAACGGTTTTTTACTTCAAATCTAAGCTCAAAGATTGGATTGGATTGGATTGGATTGTTTACTATCCAGTCCCGGTCCGGGTTATACCGTCCGGTTTCGGGTAAAACTAAAAAACTCGGACCAAATGGTCAGCCCTAGTGGAAACTTCAAACAAATATATATTTGTGTTCAGGTATCCAGGTATCCAATCGTAGCAAAAAAAATTTTGATTCCCCATAAATTTTCAAGATCTTTCAATCTGCAAAACCGCTATGGTCCCGCCTCCGTATTGAAAAAATGTCTGTAATTTATTTTTAATATTGTTATATCTGAAATAAATCCTAATAAACTTTAGGCTTTGCGTCGACTGGTTTGACAAAAACATAAGAAGGAAAGAAAATCGACAAAAAGAAATGTGAGGCCCCTGCAAAAGCAGGGAAAGAAATATATACCAATTAAAGGAAAGAACACAAAAACGAAAAAAAATTACAGGAGGCATGATGAATTTGATGAAAGCGTGACCATAGAAAAAAATTGATGAAAGGGACAGTGACAAGACATGTAAATTCATTCAAATCTCTAACCCAATCCCTTCCAGTAAAATATCAAACCTTCGTCGGACCCCACTCCTACGGTCGCGGCCCATCCCTACGCTTTCTTTCTTCTCAAATCTCAAGACGTTTCCCCCCTCTCACTCTCCTCGCACGTGACAATTCACTGATCCCAACTGACAATTTTCATACATGGCCGTACCGTTACCCGCCACGTGGCGGTCGACACGATAAAGCCCTCTGTTTCTTTCTTTCTTTCTTTTTTTTCCCCCTTCCCTTTCCTTTCCCTCTCCCACTGTGAGTCCGTCGCGCCATTCACTCAAGACTCAGGGACAGCCTTGTACGACGAACGCACTCTCCCAGCTCTCCACCGCTGCCTCTCCTTGCTCCGCAGAGCTTCAGTTCCTCGAATCAGGATTTTCTGCGCCCGAGGTATAGTTTCATCGGGGCTCCGTTTATTTGACAATTTTGGCGCCAATTTAGTTTTCAGCTCCGCCGATCCGTTTTCTTCTCCGATCATTTGATTTCAATTTCAGTTACGGTCATTTTCCCTTGCATTCTGAATTTGGATTGTTGTGCTCGTTCGTTATTTGGTGGATTTCTTCAGGTCATCAAGACGAATATGAGTAACAGCATAGGTCACAATTTATTCCACCAGAGGAGTTTGCTTCATCCCACGGGTCTCGACCACCGAAGTAAACCTAATTGTTCCGGCATTCCTGCGAGCTCCTTGTTCCAATCTGCTTCTGTGAATCCACCGGCGGCTGCGTCGGTCCGAACGATTAGGGCTCCACCATCCTCCAGTTTCTATGGAAGAAGCTTGAAAGTGAGGAAATCGAAGGTGTCTGTTGGGGCAAGTCACCCTGTGGCACTCACCCCACGCTCTGTACTGGCAATGGAACCGCCATCCGAGGTAACATCCCCGCCTTGATAACTACTAGCTTTTAGATCCGAAGATGGAGCTGTGGTTGGGCAGTTGCGTTTTCTTATATGGGATCATAGGCGTAGCTCCTGCATTTTCATGCCCTAAAGTGTCAATACCCGCGTTGAAACGTCAGTTTCTCATGCCACCTCTTTGTAGGCGAACTAGTTACACATCACCTTTCTAATGGGTTTAACACAACCATTCCCTTGGACCAGCTTGCAGGTAAATTTAAACTCGATGACAATACAGAATTGCAGGTACTTCTGATTAAACTCTTGGATACTTAGTATTTTTTGGGAACTGAATTGGGTCATTTCTCATATGATACATTGTATGCTTCACAATGAACAGGTTTTCGTTGGCAATTCTTCTACTGGGTCGGTTACTATTGTAAATATTCAGATAACATACAGCAGTGACTCATTGATCCTCCACTGGGGTGGGATACGCGATAAAACAGAGTAAGTTGTTGTGACTCATCATATGGAAGTCTTTCACAATGTGACTTTGATTTCTGGTACGCTCTTCTAGTGTATAATTTATGCAGCAGTGGTTTGTGGAAATTTCTTATTTACATACTTATATATATATCTTCCTTCTCTGTCTTTCTTAGGAAATGGGTGCTTCCTGCTCGTAACCCAGATGGAACAAAAAACTATAAGAATAGGGCTCTTAGAACGCTTTTCTCACAGGTACGAGCCAGCAGAACGCTTTTCATCAACTTCATTATCCAATTTAAAAAAATTCTTGGACATGAATTTGTGATTATCCAGTCAAGTACTGTCTGATGTTTCTTTCACCCTCTTAAGGCTGGTTCAAGTTCTGTCCTAAGACTGGAGATTGAAGATCCCAACATCCAAGCTATTGAATTCCTTATATTTGATGAAGCCCAAAATAAATGGTCCGCTTACATTTGTTTGTTTTGCAAGTTAACTAGAATTCTTTTGTGAGGTTGTCATCTGAATCTTCTGATTGGGTTGCTGATAACATTGTTTACTTGCAGGTTTAAAAACAGTGGCCAGAACTTTCATGTGAAGTTGCCTACGAGAGAGAAATCGACAGTTCCAAACTTATCAGTTCCTGAAGAGCTTGTACAGGTTCAGGCATATCTCAGGTGGGAAAGAAAAGGCAAACAGATGTATAGTCCTCAACAAGAGAAGGCAAGTATACTTGTCTGCATGCAAAGTGTTAAATTGATACGGGAGGAGATTGCATTATCCATATTTTCTTCCTTTTGGTAGAATATTTTCGCTTTCTTGGCTCCTGTAAATCCTTTCTATTAGCATCCTTAGCATTCATTTTTATGCATCGTTCCCCCACAAGTACATTCAGGGCAATGGTTGCAAGGCGAGTCCGAAAGTAAATTTCGCAGAATCTCATTTGCATTTCTTTGAGCCTAAATTAGTTTCCAATAGCAGAATGTTTTACAGACCTGTTTGGGGTTGATGTTTCATGTATTGTTCAGCTCCTATATGATCTCATACAAGCTTCTTGATGTACCTTTCAAGCACGATTTTACTAGCCCTGTGTTCAGGCCTCTTGTTAGCGAGAGGCTGTTATAAGGCGTGTCCCCGTGTGTTCTAATGTGGTTTGGTTGGAGAAATTTGGGGAGCGCATATATGAAATGTGTACTAGACATTTATTTACAGATCTTGTTTGAAGTCTGTCAGTCCTTTTCATTATATCTAATTTCTCCTAGGATCATATAATTCTTCGTTTCAGATTCTCTTTGTAGTTTGTAACTCAAAACAAATAATAGTTTCTCCGGCCGTGATAGGAGGAATACGAAGCTGCTCGTGCTGAGCTATTAGAGGAAGTAGCCAAGGGTTCTTCCATCGAAGACCTCCGGCTAAAGCTGAATAGTAAAAATGATGGAGCGGAAATTAAAGAGCCGCCGTTGCCCGAAACAAAGATCAACATGCCTGAGGAGGCACGAGCCGAGTTACATTCTGAGCTTAACAGAGGTGTTTCCGTGGATGAGATGAGGAAGAAGATCACAAAGGGCGATGCCCGTAAGAAGGTTACTGAGCAGCCTAACAAGAAAAAGCACTTCGGTCCTGGAAGGATTCAGCGAAGGGAGAGGGACTTGACACAAATTGTCACTAAATACACAGTTGACTGTACAGAGCAAGCAATCCCTGTTGAACGACAGTCTGCAAAGCCAGTTGAGCTTTATGCCAAAGCTGTGGAAGAACAAAATGGCGACACTATCATCAACAAAAAAATCTACAAGCTTGGAGATAAGGAGATTTTGGTGAGATTATACTTGTGGAATTGGTGTCGGTTACCACTTCTTATCTCAGAGTACCAAACTCTCCACATTTTATGCAGGTAGTTGTGAGCAAGCCTGGTGGCAAAATCAAAGTTAATATTGCTACTGACCTTGAAGAGTCAACTATTCTTCATTGGGCTTTGGCTAAAAAGCCTAGAGAGTGGTCGGTAAGATTCCTAATACCAGCATCAACCAAAAAGACTGTAACTAAGACGGAGAAGATTCTTGATAGCATCAGTATCCAGCATATGTGATGCATATAATATTCTGCAGGTACCACCTATGAGCGTCTTGCCCGCAGGTTCAGTTACTCAAGAGGAATCGGCTGAAACTGAACTAACAAAGTCTTCTGCTGAACTTCAATATCAGGTTTAGCAGTCTGTCGTTTTGGTTTTGTGATAACTTATGGCATCTGAATCTAAGACGTGCGGTAGTTATAGGATCCAGGTTGGCAGCGGGATAAGTATTGCCGGCTTGAGCAGCATCAAGATATATATATGTTACATAAGATATGCAAAGAGGTCTTCCTCATGGTAGCACTTTTATTTCCAGGTCCAGTCCTTTCAAATAGAGATTGAAGATGGAAGTTACGTAGGAATGCCTTTCGTTCTCTTGTCCAGTGGAAACTGGATAAAGAACAAAGGCTCAGACTTCTATGTTGAATTTGCCAGCGTACCTAAGCAAGTGCAAAAGGTTTCTCTCTCTTGGATAATCTTATGAATTCGTTCATGTACTCTGTCTCATTAATTGACTGAAAATTTCTTGAGAGAAGGACGCAGGTGATGGAAGAGGTACGGCAAAGAGAACATTGGATCGAATTGCAGAGATGGAAGAGGAAGCACAGAAGTCATTCATGCACCGGTTACAATTTGTGCATATTTAAGAAACTTCCAATTCATGAATTTCAATCCTGTATGATCAGATTTAGGTTTGTATGATGATCTGAAGGTCATTTTTGTTCTGCCTTTATCTTGTAGGTTTAATATCGCATCTGATTTGATGGATCAAGCCAAGGATGCTGGAGTCTTGGGTGTTGCCGCTATCTTTGTGTGGATGAGGTTTATGGCTACACGGCAGCTTATATGGAACAAAAACTACAATGTCAAACCACGGTAAATCACATAAGGCTTCTGCTTGCATGAAATGGTTGCCAAGTTGTTTTTGTTGGTTCATAACACTGATGTGAAAGGCTTACGTGTTTTTTCTCCTCTTGCTTCCTTTTTTGTTATTTAAATCCCATGAAAACTACTCCCTGGTCCACATATACGTGATATAATGCAGAATACTAATAACTTTTTGTATGTTGGTGCAGTGAGATTAGTAAAGCCCAGGATAGGCTTACTGACTTGCTCCAGGATATTTATAGTTCCTATCCACAGTACAGAGAGTTTTTGCGACTGATAATGTCAACTGTTGGAAGAGGAGGCGAAGGAGATGTTGGACAGCGTATTCGTGATGAAATATTGGTTATTCAGGTCTGTAATAGCAATATAGCATGTGTCACTTTCCTCACATTGACATCATTCCTATTTTCTTTACCGTCTCTGACATATCTGTATAACACATGGATTTGTTGATTCAAGAGAAATAATGAATGCAAAGGTGGAATGATGGAAGAATGGCACCAAAAATTGCACAACAACACTAGCCCTGATGATGTTGTAATCTGTCAGGTATTGTGATTTATCATTTCATCAACTTTCCTATTAATTTTCTTGGTTCTACAAGCTTCTGAAGGACAACCTTTCTTCCAGGCTTTGATTGATTACATCAATTGCGACTTTGACCTCGGTGTTTATTGGAAAACTTTGAACGAAAACGGAATCACAAAAGAGCGACTTCTAAGTTACGATCGTGCCATACATTCTGAACCAAATTTCAGAAGAGATCAAAAGGATGGTCTTCTGCGCGATCTGGGAAGCTATATGAGGACCTTGAAGGTCATTTCCTCAACCATTTATCAACATAAGCTTGATGTTCTGTTGCTTACTTTTTGTGTAGTTTTTCAGTTGAATCGAGGGCTGAGCTGGGGAATGGCCTTCATTCTGGGTTTCTTTTTCCTAATTAATGTTCTCATCTTCATTCTGCATTAACTGAGTTATAACCAGAGGATGATTAAAGTTCTCATATTAATCCTGAAATCAAGTTGTTGCCAACTAGTTAGGAGGTGTGGAAGCCAAAACTATCATCTTCTATAAGATCATGTGCTTATTTGGTTGGAACAGCCTTCTGTTTGTTTCTGTAGATGAAGTTGTGTTTTTCCTACAACCATGTGAATTTGGCTTCTGTTATATTTATTATTCGATCTCATTTGATTGTAGGCAGTGCATTCAGGTGCAGATCTCGAGTCTGCTGTTGCAAATTGTATGGGTTATAGAGCAGAGGTAACTAGTCAATAGACCATTTATTAATAAAAAACTAGTCAATAGAATCCCCTATTGCATACTCTCTTTTCAATGATTTGATGGGAATGTACTTATAATTCTTGACAGGGGCAAGGTTTTATGGTTGGGGTGCAGATAAATCCAGTCTCAGGGTTACCATCTGGCTTTCCGGTAACATATGCATTCCTGATTTCAATCGATTTTCTAGATGTCATGAGAAAGCATAGATTTTTGGAAGTACCACTTGTCTTCATTTATGTCTCTTGAAACAGGAATTGCTTCAATATGTCCTACAACATGTGGAGGACAGGAATGTAGAAGCACTTCTTGAGGTAAGTGAATGCATGTCTAGAACCTGGCTTTTGTTTCAAGTCGATGATATTCACTCTCCTTGTCGCTGATATATTCGATATTTTACCCTTTATAGGGTTTGCTTGAAGCTCGTCAGGAGCTTAGGCCATCACTGGTCAAGGCTAATTCTCGTCTGAAGGATGTTTTGTTTTTAGACCTCGCCCTTGATTCTGCTGTTAGGACAGCCATCGAAAGAGGATATGAGGAATTAAATGATGCTGGCCCTGAGGTATGTTGTGTCATTAACTTAAAACTTTTTGAGCCGCTATACACTACTGTTCTTTGAATTTCTCTATTGGCCGAACTGCCTATGTTTTCTCTCCCCTTTGAAGATTTTGACTGCCTACTTGCTCATTTTGCAGAAAATGATGTATTTCATTACTTTGGTGGTTGAGAATCTCGCACTTTCATCAGATAATAATGAAGATCTTATCTACTGCTTAAAGGTATATTGAGTTTCGGGATACCTCTGGCTCAGCCATCTTTTGACGTTCATTTTGATGCTGCCGAGCCTCCTGAACGTTTGGGATATGTTGTGTTGTTCATGGCTTATCCAGGGATGGAATCATGCCATGAATATGTGCAACTCAAAGAGTAGCAACTGGGCGTTATATGCAAAATCAATCTTGGACAGAACACGCCTTTCCCTTACTGAGAAGGCAGAGTGGTATCAGCAACTTCTCCAGCCATCAGCAGAGTATCTTGGATCACTGCTTGGAGTAGATCAGTGGGCTGTACGCTACTCTTTCCTCTGATTTAGAACTTCTTCCGCATGCACATTATGTTTGTGTATGCATGGCCCTTATATTTCTTATTACAGGTGAATATATTCACGGAAGAGGTGATCCGTGGTGGTTCCGCTGCTGCTCTGTCCTCACTTCTTAATAGACTTGATCCAGTTCTACGAAAGACTGCAAATCTTGGAAGGTTAGTAAATAAACCTCTCAAAGATTCTAAGAATGGTTAACAAGACTATTTTTTTGGGTGGAATAACAAGACTATTGATGTCAGAAGGATGAGAAATAAATTGATATCAGCATTGAACTTGTATTATTCAACTTAATACTAGGTATCTTGTTATGGCTCGACGAAATATGCTTTTCAAATGCCTGATTGTGTACACGTTAATCTGCAATACTATTGGCTGGTGGCAAGCAGTTGGCAGGTTATCAGTCCAGTGGAAGCAGTTGGGTACGTTCTTGTTGTGGAGGAGTTGCTCACAGTACAGAACAAAACTTATGACCGCCCTACGATAATAGTTGCAAGAAGAGTGAAAGGTGAAGAGGAAATACCAGATGGCGCAGTTGCTGTGCTAACACCTGACATGCCTGATGTCCTATCACATGTATCTGTCCGTGCAAGAAACGGCAAGGTATCAGTGTAGTAAATTCTGATGCAATTATAAAAAATATTCAAGATGTGATTACTGAGAAGGAAATGTAAATCAACGGCAGGTTTGCTTTGCTACATGTTTTGACCCTAACATTTTGGACGACCTCAAAGTGAGAGAAGGGAAACTATTGCGTCTGAAACCTACTTCTGCAGATGTAGTCTACAGGTACTCAATAGGTGAAGTGGTTTTGATGGTGGATACACATGAATGTGTGACCAAATAGCAAATTCCTTGTGTATTATGTGCTGTGAACTAATAAGTAGTAAATTTTTGTACTGAATTGCAGCGAAGTAAAAGAGGATGAGCTGGAAAGTTACAGTCCAACTGGCTCAACAGAAGTTGGTACCTCATCTCTGAAGTTGGTCAAAAAGCAATTCAAGGGAAAATATGCCATATCATCAGACGAGTTCACTGGCGAAATGGTAACTTTCTATTTACTTCATTAGGTTAACGCAATCATAAGTTGATGCTGGATCACTCTTCAATTCATTGTTGATGTGTTGGTGGAACTAATTGCCAGGTTGGTGCCAAGTCCCGCAATATCTCATATCTGAAGGGAAAAGTTCCCTCATCGATCGGTGTTCCGACATCAGTGGCCTTACCTTTCGGAGTTTTTGAAGAGGTTCTAGCGGATGGTTTGAATAAGGTGGAGATTTCATGTCACAACATTTTGAGAAGAATTTCCTCATTCTTTTGGTCTCACATGTCCTCTTGACACCTCAATGGCAGGACGTTGAGAAGAAGCTCCAACTGTTGAAGGGGAAGTTGGATGGAGGAGAGTTTGCTGTTCTCGGGGAGATTCGGGAGACTGTTTTAGAGCTGTTACCTCCACCACAGCTGGTTCGTAATTCGTAAACTGAAAATCCCAAGCTCTCACAGCTGACTCTTTGGTATTTTCAATGACAAAATAACCATAAGAGTTTAGTGGCGTGCGGATAACTTAGTCTGTCCCTCTTGCACCCTTTCCTTATCAAAATGTTAACTGCATGACAGGCAAACTGTTGGGTCCTTTTCGTACCGTAGTCCATCTTCTCAGACTATGATGCTTGCTTTTGTTGCAAGCAATGCTAGCTAAGAATATGATAAATTGAGCTTTATCTATAGAAGGATACAATTGATTTCAGGTTAAAGAGTTGAAAACCAAGATGAAGAGTTCTGGGATGCCTTGGCCAGGTGATGAAGGGGAGAAGAGATGGGAGCAAGCATGGACTGCTATTAAGAAGGTAAGGTTCCTCTCCGCACTTAGGACCAACTGGAACTACTACTGTATGGAACTCTTGTGTGGCAATCGTATGTCATCGTCTGATCGTCCATAACGATTGCCCACTGTGACGTCTTTTAACTTGGAGTCTGAGAATTACATCAACATTACCATAGACTTGCACATTTGCCGAGAGGGGACGTTGGCTTCCAGCGGTTTCTGAAACGCCATGCTTGTAACATTGCCAATATATGTGCGTCACGACCTTAAAACTAAACACCTGAACAGTTGGCGACTTGTCTTAAAGGTTCATTTGGTTTTTGAGATTGCTGTGATGAATGACTGCTTCCAAATCCCAGGTCTGGGCGTCCAAGTGGAACGAGAGAGCATACTTCAGCACGAAGAAAATAAAGCTGGAGCATGATTATCTGTGCATGGCTGTCCTGGTGCAAGAAATCATAAACGCTGATTACGCATTCGTCATCCACACGACAAATCCATCCTCAGGAAACGCCTCAGAGATATATGCTGAGGTCTTTCCTCTCTACCGCCAACTTTACTACTGCTCGTCCTATTGAATAGTCTTGATTTTAAACCCACTTCTTCTCGCTGCAGGTGGTGAAAGGGCTTGGAGAAACTCTCGTTGGAGCTTATCCTGGTCGTGCTTTGAGTTTCATCTGCAATAAAAATGACCTGGACTCTCCACTGGTAAACAAAGCTGTGACTACATTGCACGAATACGTCAAATCAAAAAAACAAGGCCACAAACTAATTATGAGCCACACGCTTTCAGGTTCTGGGTTATCCTAGCAAACCAATTGGCCTCTTCATCAGACGATCAATCATCTTTCGTTCGGACTCCAACGGCGAAGATCTTGAAGGCTATGCCGGTGCAGGCTTGTATGACAGGTAAAAGGTTTCCTCGTTGTCCAGAAAGGCTATCATTATTGTTAATTCCCCTCTCCTTCCTTGAAAGTTCATCTGCCTTCCACTCTCGATCATGCAGTGTGCCAATGGACGAAGAAGAGAAAGTGGTGCTGGACTACTCGTCTGATCCGCTGATGATCGACGACAACTTCCAGAAGTCGATTCTCTCGAAGATTGCGAGTGCCGGGCATGCAGTTGAGGAGTTGTATGGATCTCCACAAGACATTGAAGGCGTGGTACGAGATGGCAAAATCTATATCGTTCAAACGAGACCTCAGATGTAATACTGCCATCATCTTGCATTAAATGTTCTGGTGGTCTGTCATTCTAGACCCCAAAATTTTCTGGATTTCGATCCACAATAGTACACATGATACGAATAGCTTTGACACCTGCTTGGACAACTCGAAAGAATAGATCTGAAAAAAGCGGGAAATAGCGAAACGAGTATAATTTGAGGTCCTACGGAGGTCCTGGAAGAAACATCAGATGCCCCTAGCTAGGGCTTAAGATGAGGTGACTAAGTTAATCTCGCTAAAATTCAATGGTTCAGATTGATCTCATTTAATAAAGTGTAATGTAGTAATTACATGAGTTTTTATTTTTTCATTATTAAATACTTAAAAAACACTTTCGTGTTTAAGGTTTTTTCCGAGCTGGGTTTCCGGGCTTCCCGCCGCCACCGCGTGAGGGATTTTTAGTAGTGATGAGTTTTCGGCGGACATTAGCTTACCTCATTCCCGATTAGCTTTGTGTGCGTTGCCCAGAGAGAGAGTTTTCCAGTTGGCTTTTCCTGGTGGAAGAGGCTTTCCGGCAACCAAAGACGATGAAGAAGGATTTTTCGGCGGCAGTGCTGGATTCGTGATGTTTGTCGACCGGCTTAATTGCAAGTTTGGTCACTCGAATTGCTATAAAATTTCATGTTTGCCACTTAAATTAATTTATTCCATTTATAGTCACTCGAATTAGTTGAACAGTTCAAGTTCGGTCACTCTCCGTTAACCTCCGTTAACTTTGACTGACGTGGCGGTCAACTCTGACAGTTGACCGTTAAATGTGTGACGTGGCAAATAAAAAATAATTAAAAAATAAAAATTAAATTATTAGAAATTACACATCATTATAAAAAAAATTATAATTATAAAAATGAAAAAAAGAAATTATAATTATAATTTTTTTTTTTTTACAGAACGCCACTGATGTTCCGGTAAACCTCAGCTTGATAGGTTCTCTTAGCACGATTAGGATCAGACGACAGCAGGTCAGTAGCGTCGAAGGTGATGTAGTAGTTCTCACCACCAAATCACCATAAACTACACTTCTGATCACTTGCTTGGAGAAGAAATAATAATATCCAACTGCACACAAAGATAGAAGCTTTGATGTTGGATGGTAACTTAACATTAGTAGGAAAGCAGTGTGGGCATCACAAACCTTGAATGAAACCCGGCATAAGCATCAACGAGTAGAAACCAAGAGCAACAAATCTCATCACCCATCTATAGCCTACCCTGAATAAACAGAAATGCTCAGCAACCACAATTGTTTGCAGAAATGCCATTACGAAACAAAGCAGCACAAACCAAAAGAGGAAGAATCCAAAAAAAAAAAATGAGTACCCAAGATAGGTCAAGAGCTGCAAACTCAATCTGGTAAGCAGAAACGTCTCGGCCGCCGCATGACCCACTTCACGGCTCAACGACTGCTGCCGGCCGCTCCCTTCATCCCCCGCCCCACCACCACCGCCACCACCATCTGAACAAACAATCGAGGAAAGCAGACACGTTTCCCTAGCCGTCCGACGACGCCTCTTCTTCTTGCTGTGATCATAAAACTTGCCGAACCCTTCGCTACTGCTACTACCACTACTACTAGTACTACTTCTGGCAGTGGAAATACCTGAAAAACTAGAATTCCGTGACAGCAGAGGCTTCTTGTGGGATGTGGTAATCTCGTCGGAGGAAGAAATCAGTAGCCGGGTTGAAGGGTCGTCGATGACTAGGTTCATCACCATCTGATTAACACTCTCCTCTTCGTCTTCTTCTTTGATCGACAGCGAAGTCTCTGCAATTGGCGGCGAGGAGGAATTCCCCAAATTTTGGGGGGATTTATGGTGGTGGATTGTGGTGACGGGGAGGATTTGGGACGACGGCATTATTGTATCGTGGTGGTGGTGAATGATCTGGCGGGGGGAGGGAAATGGACAGTGGGAATCTCTTGTCTGGCGGGTGATTTGGTCGTTTGTGCAGTGAGAAACAAGTGAATTTTTTTTTTTCTCGGCGGGGTGTTTGGTCGCTAGGAATCGATAAGAAACGGAGAGGAATTTTCTCGGGAATTTGTTCATGGCGGGTTGGGAATTTTCATCTTTGTTTTCCTGCGTTTCTCCGTTTGCCCCGAATTGGAGACGAACCGGCAACCAACCAGATCTCACAGCCGGGAAGGTGGGGTAGTTGACGGAGCAGACTTTTTTCGTCAAATATGTCTTTTTTTCATTTTTTATAATTATAATTTTTTTTATAATGATGTGTAATTTCTAAAAATTTAATTTTTATTTTTTAATTATTTTTTATTTGCCACGTCACACATTTAACGGTCAACTGTCAGAGTTGACCGCCACGTCAGTCAAAGTTAACGGAGGTTAACGGAGAGTGACCGAACTTGAACTGTTCAACTAATTCGAGTGACTATAAATGGAATAAATTAATTTGAGTGGCAAACGTGAAATTTTATAGCAATTCGAGTGACCAAACTTGCAATTAAGCCTTTGTCGACCTATATTGTAATGTTTATAAGTTGAGTTCGTAATGTTTTTATCAATTCGGTTTGTATAGTTTATTAATCTTGTTTTTCATTTTTGTTTATTATATTTGTAATATTTATATGACTATTTTGTATATATTGTAATTTGTAATGTTTGTTTTTCTAGTTTGTATACTTTATTTTATGACTTGTATACTTTTTATTCATTGGTTTGTAATACAAGTTTACCGATTTGTATTGTAAGTAGTGGTATTTTGTACGGTTAATATGCTTTGTATTATTTGTCCGTTTCTTTTGTAATGTTTGTAAGCTTTGTTATTTTATAATGTTTATCGATTTCTTTTGCAATTTTTGTAGACTTTGTTATTTTTTACCACCATGTTTGTCATTTTTGTCATTCATATTTGAATGTATTTTATGTCTAAAAAACAAGATGATTGACTTTTGGGTGAAACTTCTCTATATAGAGATGGAGCCTCCAAAGTCAACCGAGTGTTTTTCTATTTTGTATTGTTTGTTGGTCTAGTTTGTCATTTTTCCCACCATGTTGGCAATGTTCGTATGTGAAAAAAACAACCGGGTTGACTTTGGTACGAAACCCTCTATAGAGGAATGGAGCCTCCAAAGTCAACCTGATTATTTTTATTTTATTTTGTATGATTTGTATTGTTTGTCGGTCTACTTTGTATTGTTTGTAAATCTGTTTGTATGTCTTGTCGTTTTAGTTTGTAATGTTTGTATTGTTTGTACAGTTTGTAAGTATGATTTGAATACTTCATAATTTTTCATAATACCCAAACTACCGCTGTCATTAATTAAAAATACTTACCACTTTTTAACCGTCAAATTAGTATGTCCAGATCTAAGTGTTGAGAGGGGTTTAGTCAAGTGACTAATCAACCCCTTCCATAATTACAATTACAACCAGCAGAGCCATCAAATATTCCCCTTTGTCAACTTTTTTTTCTTTCTTCTTGTGGTGGGTGATACTTCAAATTGGGGCTCTCAGTTTTATGTGAAATTCAAGATTTTGGGTTTTTCTAATATTTTTATACAAAATTATTACTTTTTTCTCTTTCTTATGTATATTTGGCCAAAAAAGGGGACGAATTTGTAGTTGGGAAAATTAATTATATAACTCTCTCGTTTTTCTCTGTTTTTGTGCGGTTATCGCAAGATTTCGCGGCATCTAGGTACGGATGACCACCGTTGCTAGCGAAAAACACATGAGTAGACCTAACCACCTTACCATCTTACCTGTGGTCGTCCAACATGTTGGCGCCATCGTGATTCGTGAGTGTGTTGGCGCCGGGGCTGGGCGCCGACTTCTTCGGCCGGAAACACCCCTTGGTAGCGGCGCCACCTCCTCGTACGGCCTTCTGCTGGCTGGACATCTGTTCACAGCCCTGACAGTCGGCATCATCTTCAATAAAAATCACGTGAAGAAAATATAACATCGGATTAAACTGTTGTGCATATTTGTAATTACATAACTGTTATAAAAAAAGTCTTACACAAATCTTTTCTACTGTGTCGTCTAATGATAAATAACTTATGATAAAATGATAAATCACGTTAAGAAAATATAACATTTGATTAAACGGTTGTACCATTTAGTACGGTTGTCTACTTTTGTGCTATGTTGTGGTCTTAAGAATTGTGGAAACAATTAAAAAAACATGTTTAGTTAGGTTTTCAAATTTTGTTATGCAACTAATTATGCAACCAAGCCAAATCAACAAAATGTCAATTTGTAGTTTGGAGGCGTTGCACACTGATTTCCCTTTTCATTAATTGATAACAATTATTTGATTAAGCTATTGCGAATATTTGTAATTATATAACTGTTATAAAAAAGTGTTATACAATTTTTTGTAATGTGCAATCTAATTATAAAGGGTTTATGATTTAATGATACAATCACATTAATAAAAAGAAAATATAACATTTGATTAAATTGTTGTGTAAAAGACTTATTATTAGAAAATCTACCGATAATAAAGAGCTTATAGTGAAATTAGGTGTAGAATATTAGTACACTTGTGAATAGTATATGTGGGGGAAAATATTAATATTTCCCTAAGGAAAAGTGAAATATAACTTATGCCGTTAATTATCTAATAATTTTCCTACGAAATTTTGAAAGTGGAGGAAACTCGGTCACTGCTAAGGGGAGTGGATCAGGTGCATAATCTTGGAGTCCGGATCTGGTGACTAATGGGGGGTCCTTAGTCACTTGACTAAGCCCCCCTCAGCCTTTGGATTGATCTGATAGTCCAGATAAATCAATAAATTATTATTAAATGAGAAGGGTAGTTTTGGCATTATCAATAAATTTTTAACTCCTATTTTTTCGGTATTTATTTATTTATTATTATTGATTTCTTTTTTTCCCCCTCTGCAACCGTCTCCTCCTCTTCCCTTTTTTGCGATGTCGAGAGAGAGAGAGAGAGAGAGAGAGAGAGAGAGCCATGGTGGAGGAAAGAGATCGCAACGCCGATGGAGGAGAGAGAGAAAGAGAAAGGCGATGATGTCGATGAAGAGAGAGATGGCGGTGGCGCTACGCTGGAGGAGAGAGAGGCGATGCCAACGCCGGCGATGATGGAAGAGAGGGCGGCGACGACGATAATGGAGATCTCGAGCCGACGACGATGGAGAGAGGGAAAGGAGATCACAGAGGCGGCAACCTTGGAGAGAGAGAAAGCAGATCTAGCCACGTCGTCGGAAAATAGAGGAGAGAGAGAGACGATGTTGGAGGAGAGAGAGACGGCGGAGAGAGAGCGTTGGCACGGTGGAGGAGAGAGAGGCGGTGCAACGATGGAGAAAGAGAGAGAGGTGACAATGGCAGTAGAGAGAGTCAGCGGCGGCGGCGGTGGAAAGAGAGTCGACGGCGGCAACAACAGTGGAGAGAGAGGGAAGAACAGTGATTTGTAATGCAAGTGTTATCGGTTTATATTGTTAGTATGTTTGTACATAATTTCAGGGTGATTTGTATGGTTTGTATGTTTTGTAAAAATGACAAACATGGTGAACAAAAATAACAAAGTTACAAACATTACAAAAAAAACCAACAAACATTACAGAATAACAAAGCTTACAAACATTACAAAATAAACCGTCAAACATTACAAAGCATACTAACATTACAAAATACCACTACTTACAATACAAATCAGTAAAAATGTATTGCACATCAATGAATACAAAGTATACAAATCATAACATAAAAGTATACAAACTAGAGCGACAAATATTATAAATCAAAATATATACAAATTAGTCATGTAAACATTACAAACATGGCAGACAAAAATAACAAAGTAGAATGATAAACGATACAAACCGAATTGGTATAAACATTACAAACTGGACTTATAAACATTACCAAATAGGTCGACAAACATCACAAAATCAACACTATCACCGAAAAATTTGTCTTTCGCCGGAAAGCTCTCTCTCTCTCTCCCTCTCGTAGCTATAGCTATTATGGGGGCACAAAAGCCCTTAGGTTGGGGACACAAAAATCACGCCGCCGGGAGAATTCCCCAGAAAAGAAACGATCACCGTCTCTCTCTCTCTCCTCCTCCTCCTCCTTCACGACCGTTGGCATCTCTCTCTTCCCCTACTCCACGACCGCCGCCGCCGTCTCTCTCCTCCTCTACGATTGTCGCCGTCGTCCCTCGTCGGATGCATCTTTCTCTTTCCCCGCATCACCCAATTTTTTCTCTCTCCCCACTGCTCACAACTCTCTCTCTCCCCACAACACACAACGGAGGAAAAATAGAAACAAACTCTATTATTTTTATTTTTTTAATTATAATTATTAAATGTATAATTATTTTGTTGCCCTTCATTAAAGTGAGCGAATTATAGCAACAGGATTTAAATGAGACTGGGTGGCTGAGATTGACTTAGGCAAGTGACTAAGGGCAACAAAATAATTTTTTCTCTCTCCCCACTGCTCACAACTCCCCCCCCCCCTAGTCACCTAATCTTAACCCCATAATCTTGTAGTCAATAACCTCATGCATAACTCAATCAGAATTCGCCACATCAGCGCCCTTTCTCTCTCCTAGAAAGTCTTTAATTATCTCAACTTAATCTTTAACGGACGATTGCTCACTTATTTTAAGTCGGAATTCAATTTTTTTGCACAGTTATACCAGATTGATTGTGCTCTTCAAAATGATATTCACTTTGATATATTTTGGAACAAAAAATTTTGAGCCAGTTATTACCAGTCTATACCATATGGTATTGACTGGTATTAAATAAAAGCATACCATATAATTTAAAGTTAGTATAATTCATGTAATCATGGAGTTGGTATGAAAAATACTACCCATACTAAATGACCTAAATTCATGCAAAGTGGCCTAAGTACAGGAAATAAAAAAAAACCTTGTGAGTATAATTTAAAGTTAGTTAACTTACATGAGTATGCATTGTTAAAATATAGGGCTAATACCACTACAACACCCGAACTATGACAAAAATGCCACTTGTGTCCTATTCTTTTCAATATTCCATTTATGTCCTGAACTATTATTCCGTTAATGTTGACCAGCGTTGACTGCTAGTATTTAACAGAAAATCCAGTTAGCGTTGACATGGCATCTGATGTGTTATTTTTAAATAATTAAATAACAATTAAAAAGCAAAAAATTAAAAATTCCTAATCTATCTTCCCAATCCCAATCCCGAGCTTGCTCCGCCTCTTCCTCTTACCGACTCAATCCGCCACCACCGCAATCATCCCTCTGATACACTAGTTTGACCTAATCCGCCTCTTCCTCTTACCTAAACCAATCCGCCGCCACCAGTTTTGCCATCGCCTCCCCCACCACGAATAACCCTCCCGTCCGATACACTACCATCCACCACCAGTTCGTCATCGCTCCGCCACCACCCAGAACCTCCTTCGAGCAATCCTCCCTTTCCTTCTCCATCACCAATGTTTCGCCTCCGCCACCAATCCGTCTCCATCTTAGATCTGTCTCTCCCCAATCCCCATCCTTCCCCCGATTTAGAGATTCAGCAAAGCCATCGTTCAGCCAAGAAGACTCGCGGAACTTTATCGGCGGAGGCAGGTTTCTTATTCCAATTGGAGTGAATCGATCTTTCTCCTTCCTCCTCCGACATCGGTTCTCTTTCATCGCAAAATCGAATCCATGAGAATCAGGATCTATCACCAGATCTGGGTTGAGACCCAACTCCGCCGCGTCGCCACTGTGAGAAGTCATTGCCTCATCGAATTTGTCAACATCGATCTTGCTGGCGAGCCTTGAGGCCGGGCCAAAAATTGACCTCATATACATCATCGTCAATGGCATCTTCGCAGTGGCGGCTGGTGATGTTCGTCTTGGATCCGGAACAAGGAGGTATGGTGGCGTCGATTTGGGGACAGAGAACGGAGAGGCCAGGGTTTGGGTTTTTGTTGGCGAATGGTCGAGGACAAAGAACGGAGAGGCTAGTGGAATTTTTTAATTTTGAGATTATTTTTATAAATTTTAATTATTATTTAATTAAAATATGACGTGGCTGCCACGTTGCTGCCACATCGACCCCAATCTGACGTCATTTTCAAAACCGTCTGGTCAACCGTTAAATCTAACGGTCAACAAAATCGCTAGGATACAAATGACACAAAGTATCATAGTTTAGGACAGAAATGGAATATTGAAAAGAATAGGACACAAGTGGCATTTTTGTCATAGTTCGGGTGTTGTAGTGGTATTAGCCCTAAAATATATTAAAATCAATTTAGAATATTGACTATCAAAACAGTGGTAATCGGCGTTACGGGATGTCATTTGTTGATCTTTTACAACTGTTATGTAGAATTCACATCCACTATTTATAGGTTACGAAACGACAATTGGTTCTTATGTAACAGTTAATCAGAAGTGTTATGTAAGGCTTTCGTAATGATTTAGTACTTTACCCTACACGAGGTTAATATTCATTACGTAAAAGGAACTTCAATTCCGTAAAGGTTTATTAGTTCAATAAAAAAATATTACATAAAATTTAAATAATAACTTAGCATTTTACGTAATGCGAGGTTAACATTAATCACTTAAAATAATTGTCCATTGTGTAAAATATTTATAAGACTTCTTACAACTATTATGTAAGATAAGCAAATTTCACATAACAATATAATAATGCCTATTATATTTTTAGTTAATATACTTCAAATTTCAAAAGGATTATAGGAAGCCCCGCCCTAGCTTTGTTAATTCGTTTCTGATGGTGGGAAAGAAGAGATAAATATAAAAGTGTGAAATGAAATGATGCCTCAAACAAAACTCACTCCCTTTAATTTTCCCCAATTCCTTAAAGGTGGAGGAAGCTAAGGCCTACATACAATTGATTGTTACAGCAATACATTCATCATAATCGATTATATGCTCCACTCCCAATGCCCGTCTGCATACTACTCAACCCTACCTCCCCAATCCACTTTGTCGGGCATGCAGAGTAACTTTGTCGGGCATGCAGAGTAGGGATGGCAACAAAACCCGAACCCATGGGTATCCACCCGACCCAACCCGGTCAACGCGGGTAAAATCCGTGTTGACGGGTTTTGGGCCGGGTTTGGGTTTAAACCCGTTCACTATTCACCGAGTTGGGTCGGGTTTGGGTTTAGGTAAACCCGACCCATGGGTACCCGCCCACACCCATATAATTAATTTTCTCTGCATATTTAATATTCTAAACAACTAATCTTATTTATGTTTGTGGAGACAAGTCTAATTTTTTCTTTCTAGTTATGTAGAATGAAGTTGATGTTATTGAGTGGAGAGTGAAAAACTTAATTGAAAGGAAGAAACTTTCGATTAATCATGTTATTTATGGATAATTTGTGATTTGCTTCAATTTTCTTGAGTTTTCTAGATTGGTGTTGAACAATTTGTGTAGTTAATTTGTGATTTGCTTGAATTTTCAAGAATTGTGTTTTATATATGGATAATTTGTATTGAGAGATTGATATTTGACTTTAATTTTGATAGGAATTTGTTATTGTGAATTTTTTACGACAAAAACCCGTGGGTACCCATGAATCCGCGGATACCCAGCGGGTTGGGTTGGGTTTGAGTTTTTCAAACCCAGTGGGTTTTACCTCGGGTTTTTTTCACGGATAAACCCATGAGTTTGGGTTTGGGTTTGGCAAAACCCGATCCAACCCGACCCATTGCCATCCCTAATGCAGAGAATGAAGTTATATTACTTGTGAGGTTGGTGAGTGGTGGCAGGGGCGGACCCACGCATGGGTGTTACGGGACACTCCTAAATTTTAGAAAATGATTATTTAACCCTCGGTGATAAATTACGTATGATAAAAAATATATATATATACAATTGATAGTCGGGGACACTCCTGAAATTTGAAAAAATGATTATCCTACTATAATCTTCTAGTTTGGGTATGAGAATATAAGTGATAGTTTGGGTAATTCAAACCTAGGACACTATGATTATTAATAAACATAATTTTCATTAAGCTACAAGCCTACAACTCATTTGTTGTTTGATTTTAAACACTGTATAATAGTCAGATGTCATTCACTATCTCTAATTATTTTCTAAACCTAACAATTAAACAAATTTAAGCTACCCTTAATTTGTATTGATTTTATGGTTGTACGACAAGTGTTGAAAGAGTCTTTTCAGCTTTGGATTACATAAAAAAACAAATTTAGGAATCGAATATGTGATCAGTTCGTGAATGATTGTCTAGTAGGATACACAAATTCAATTTTTTTGAGCAGTGTGAGCACCAAGTGTATTCACCAATTATTTCTGAATATGAAAACACATAGTGGACTTTTTTTAAGTTGTACGAGTCAAGTATTTTCTTATTTAAGAATTATTAATTTTTATTAATTTTTTTTATGGTTAAATAAAAAATTAGCATTAAGAACGAGCAGACTTGGGAAAATTTCCTAGCCGCCTCTCAAACAGTACTAACAATTTACATTCCTATGCTTGCTCACAAAGAAAAACAAAACAAAAATTCTATCACCCTCTCCCGTTAAGAGGATAAACTCGTATACCATCTCAATCTAAGGCTATGAATACAAATCTGGAGATCCTGGATTCCATTGACACGGAAACAAATATCTCTACATATCTGCCTGCATATAACTTCAGGGGATTTAGCAGCCACATCACCATACAATCGAGCACATAGCTCTCTTTATACCATACTTACCGTCAAGCTCCAAACCAGGCGACCCACTCGAGCAGCAACAGAATTCCCAGACCAGTGGGAAGAACACCAATCAACTCTGTCACCCCAGGAACTCATAACTGGAATCATCAAGTGTTCCAAGCAACTGCGCAAAATACCATCTCCATAGGGCATTGTACAAACAGATGATCTATAGACTCGATACCCCCCTCGGGCAAAGCAGACATAAACCCAACACATTCTTGCCCCAGCCAATAAGCTTATCTTGTGTGACCAACCTGTTCTGCAGAGCCAGCCATAGCAAGAAAGCATGTCTGGGAATAGCACCCTTGTTCCACACTAATTGAAACCAGTCCACAACATCTAAAGCTATTCTTATCGACTTCCAGACTTTAGTAACAGAATATTGTGATATCACCTCACCATCCCATTTCAAACAAGGACCAGAACCTGTTATAAAAGGAGAAACAACTGATCTGCATTTCAATATCCTCTTCCAAATCCATCTGCCAGTAGAGGTACCAGCCAAGTCCCACAAACTGTGATGCTTGACTCTATACCTTCTGACCCACGCGACCCAAAGAGAGCCTTCTCCTGCAAGTATATCCCAAATGTGGCGAGAGACACAAGCCAGATTCCAGATCCTGAAGTCTCGAATGCCAAGACCACCTTCCTGTTTTGGACGTGCTAGAAATTTCCAGGCAACAACAGCTCGAGTTCGTGTGCTTGTCTCATCAATACTCCAAAGAAAAGCGTTGCACAAACTCTCAACCTCTTTAATAATAAACTGGGGCAGCAGAAAAAGATTCATCCAGTACTGCAGTATACTAGATATCACAGAAGAAACCAATTGCATCTTCCCTGCATAGCTTAGGGATTTAGATCGCCAGCTACGAAGCCTTTGCGTAATCTTATCTATCAGCACTTGACAGTCCTTACAAGTCAGTTTTCCAATTATAAGAGGAACACCTAAGCAGCGCACAGGCAGCACTCCTAGAGGGAATTCAGTATAAGTAGCAATCCATTCTTTTTCCTCCTGTGAGATTCCAGAACAAAAGAGTTGACATTTTTTTGGGTTACATTTCAACCCTGAGAGAAGGTAGAAGTGATCTAGTAATCTTCGAATCCCCGCTACACCCCTGATTGAACCATTTGTAAACACCATAAGATCATCAGCAAAGCACATATGTATAATACTAAGGAGTTTACAGCGAGGGTGAAAGGGGATATGGTCTTCCCTGGCTGCCTTCCTCATTAAGCAATCAAACACCTCCATTGCCACCGTGAACATGTACGGGGACAATGGATCCCCTTGACGTAGCACCTTCTTCGCTTCAAATCTCCCACAAATTCCACCATTCAGAGTAACACTGATTACTGGAGTACAGATACAGGCCTTAAGCAGCTTAATAAAACCAACTAGGAACCCCATAGCCTCCATGACAGAAAATAGGAAACCCCAGTGCACGGAGTCAAAAGCCTTCATTAAGTTTATCTTAACCACACACACCTAGACGATAGATTGGATCTGTGATAATCCTTAACTAGCTCAGACACTAACATAATATTTTCCCCAATCGATCGAACCTTCACAAAAGCAGCCTGGGACTTACTAATAACAGAAGGCAGCACCTTAGCAACTCTATTAGCAGGGAGTTTTGATATATTTTTGTAGATGGTGTTGCAGCAAGAGATCGGTCGAAAATCTGTCATTCGTACAACACTTGGAACTTTTGCAACTGAAGTGAACAAAGTAGAGTTAATAGCTGATGGTATGTGACCAGTTGAGAAGAAGCTCAAGACAACATCCTCAACTTCCTTCCAAACTATATCCCAATTCCTCAAAAAGAACTCAGCTGGGAAGGCATCAGGCCCCGAAGCTTTGTCCCTTCCCATCTGTGTAAAAACTAGCCGAATATCCTCACGTGAGATGCCAGTCATAAGCATAGTTTTCTCCTCCTCTGGAAGTGTATGCTGCAGTAAAGATTTGAAATACTCAACCGACTGCACTTGGACTTCACTATTCTCAGAACCAATCAAGCCTTTATAGAAATCCATTGCTATACCAGAATGTCAGTTACCTCCTGTCCCTCAGCATCCAGCAATCTTGTGATCTGCTGCTTTTGAGTACGGATTCTTATTGTCTTGTGAAAAAATGCAGAATTTGAATCTCCATATTGAACCCAACCTGCCCTTGATTTTTGTCGATAAAACATCTCTTCAGCTTACCTAATATTTGCACAGTTAATCCTCAACTTCACCTCTTTCTCAACCAGC